TATCCATCGTCATCAGCTAGAGAGGAAAAAAAAAACTTGAAAATTCCCCGGCTTGTGCTGCTGCTGCTGCTGCTGATTGTTTGAACAGNGAACAGCTTTTTTTTGCAAAACAAAAAGCGCACCCCTAACGGGCCACACTTTTCGCAAAAAAAAAACTATTATTATTACTAGAGTTGGAGGTGGAATAGTTTTTTGTGGTGGTTGCACAAAAGTACCTGCAGTAGGCTCGTGCGTATATCTCTCCTCTCGCTTCCTCCGCCGAAAGCTAGCAGCAGCAGTAGTATAGGCACACCTTGCTCCCGTCCCGCTCTCGCTGTGTGGTGTATGCAACACACGCTGGTTGGTGGGACTCCCTCTCTCTCCAGAGAAAAAAAGGCGAAAAAAAGGCCGGCAGCGTTGAACAACAACAAACCACGGAAACAACAACAACAACATCATCAGCGATGAACCCCAGACCAACCAAACGTTCCCCGCTTCCTCCGCCGTCGCCAACAGCAGTATGTGTGTGTGTCCCGCCCCCCTTGTCCATGTTCCCTGTCTCTGTGTAGTGCGTGTCTTGCCAGTAGCAGCAGCAATGTGTGCAGCACGGCAGTGCGTCGTGGTTTCTTGCGTGCGTGTAGTTTGTTGCCCAGCAAAAAAAAACAAGAATGACGCCCCCCGGGGATGCGTTCATGTGACATATATATTTGCACAAACGGTGTGCTATCTCGAGACACCGACCACGGATTGCAAAGGTAGCGGTTGGGACAGCTCGGGCAAAATATTACTTGTTGTGCGCAAGTTTTAGTTTGCAATTTGGTGCCGAGATGGTGAAATGGGCTCGAGTCTGCTGGTTATTTAGGGCGCGCAGACAGACAGACAGACAGACAGACAGCAATCGCGTGATTTTCATGCCCCTGTTTGCATGAAAATTGTTCTTTTTCTCGTGCGCACGTACTCCACACACGATCCTTCAAAACAGCTTTTTTTTTGCAAAACAAAACAAAAAGCGTACTACCCCTAAACGGGCCACTCTTTTTCGCATAAAAAAACTAGTAGAGTTGGAGGTGGAATAGTTTTTTGTGGTGGTTGCACAAAAGTACCTGCAGTAGGCTCGTGCGTCTGTTACAGAAGAACGGGGGGCGGTCCATCATCACCAGCTAGAGAGGGGGGTGGTATCCATCATCTTTCGCTAGAGGGGGGGGTGGTGTCCATCATCAGCTAGCGAGGGGGGTGGTATCCATCGTCAGCCGTCAGGGGGGGGTGCTATCCATCGTCACCAGCTAGAGAGCAAGAAAAAAACGTTGAAAAATTCTCGGCTGATGCTGTTGCTGCTGATTGTTTGAACAGGACGCTTCCTCCGCCACCGCTTTAGATAACAGCAACAGCAGCAGCAGCAG